GGCCAACTGAAGGCTTGTTATCAGAACAGTCTCAGAATGAGGACTTGGTTCAGAGAGGAGGTGTTGTGTTAAATCAACACTCTAACTACTGGGACTTAACTTTTGACCAGAGGCATTTTGTTAGCTCTTCCCCCCAGAACCAAGTAAGAGTGACTTCTTTGGCTCACTGCTTTTGCCATATCATGCTTGAGGTGTACTATTTCTCTAGGTTCTATTTAGCTACCTGCTTCCTAATGGTTCAAAAGGAAGTCCCCTAATATAAAGGTAGCCAAGGTTTTCCAGGGGATGCCTTCCTCACAGAGCATCACTCTCAAGGTTTCCATCTCATGGGTCCCTCTAGTTACCCAGGATGTATGAGACTTGCTTTGAGTATCTCACAAATTCCCACATGCTACTGTTCATTCTGCACTAATATACAGCAGACCCATGCACCAGGTACTAGGCTAGATTCAGACATGGTCATTGCTCCTCTCAATCAAGTTGTCTCATGCAAGGGTGAGGAAAGAAACATGTGAATAGTCATTATAGTGCAACATAATGGGTGCCATGAAAGAACCCTTGCTTTGTTATTGCATTTGGCAACCACCATTCTGTGGCTGAAACAAATTACTCCCAGTGGTTGATAGGCTCATGTGCTGAACATGAAGACGTTAGAAATACTGGTACTATTTTGCCTGGTAAAGGAGTCAGAGAAATGAGTTAGTGGGTTTTTTTTAATGTTTTATTTTATTTTATTGATTTTAGAAAGAGAGGAAGGCAGAGGGAGAGAGAGAGAAACATCAATGTGAGAGAGAAACGGATGAGTTGCCTCCAGCACACACTCCAATTGGGGATCAAGTCTGCAACCTTCACATGTGCCCTGACTAGGAATCAAACCGGCGACCTTTTAGTGCATGGGACAACGCTCAACCAACTGAGCCACACCGGCCAGGGCAGTGGGGTTTGTTTTATCTATGAAGCATTCTTGTAACCAACAGCAATAACTACCATTCTGTTTCTCCCTTTCTGCTGAAAATAGATCAGAAGAAATGACCCTAAGTGCCAAGAAAAGTGGCCTGGGTTAAACACAGGGAAACATTCTTGTTAATGATGTTATTAAACAATGGAAGAGACTACCCAGGATTTGGTGGCCTCTCCCTTCCAGGAGGATTTTGTGAAAGGGAAACTGGCCGTCTGCATGAACCAAAGGCCTTCTAGGGGCCCAGCATAGCTGTGAAGAATGAGGGTGCCTCAGAAGCACAGTGAAGAGTTGGAAAGAAGATACTCCAGAAATGTCCCTTACTTTGACTCTTTTGGGGTCAGTTCATTAGAGATTCCATTCAAAGCTACATGTGCCTCACATATACACATAGGGAAAATGTCACTTTCCTTCCTGAAAAAGACTTAAACTCGTCCTACTGGCTTGACAAACAAATTAATGTATTCTTTTCATTATAGGGAAATCACTTGGAAGAGGGGCTTTTGGAAAAGTGGTACAAGCATCTGCATTTGGCATTAAGAAATCACCCACATGCCGGACTGTGGCTGTAAAAATGCTAAAAGGTATGAACACTGTAGTTTGGCTTTCAACTGACCCTATTACAGTTCCTAAATGTTGCTATAAGTTGGATGTGGCCTAGGAACAGATACAAGCTAATTCTGCTCTGGTCATACAACTTTCTTCTACTGTTAGAAGCTCCTTGACTTCAGGAGTTTTCAATTAGGCCAGAGAGAGTTCAGAATAAACCTTGTAAATGAAACAATCAGCATCATCCATTGGAAGACAATTTCTGTCACCTAGAAGATATTTCTCCTACCACATCTAGACTCTCAGGGACTTAAGCCATGGTAACCACAGGTTCAAAATTTTTTGAAATGATCCACTATGACATTATAATGGGAATTCAGCTGTACATCATAAATCCCAAAGGCTTAGCTGGGGCTTGACCTAACTATAAGGTAAAACTATGAAACTAAAACAAGTGAGATGACCAAGACCCTAAACTAATTAATACTGTCAAGTCCCAACCATAAACCTTTTTCTGTTTAGAAGTTAAAAACAACAAATTATCTTTCTAGTGTGAAGTGCCAAATCACATAGGGATGTATGATCATTGCCATAAGACAGACTGAAAGTGAAAATTATGTAAACCAAACAAATCACAACTCATAGGTCCTTTAAAGTTTAAAAACTAATTCATTTCCTCATTTATGATGGAATTTTCATTTTACTTCAATGCATTTTAAGGTCCCCAAACCAAAAGAAACTAAAATCCCAAAGGGCAGTTTTCAGCTTTCCAAAGTCTCCAATATATTGACAGGGGATGTTGAGGCACAGGAAGCTATGCAACCAGCTAAGCAGGTACCTAGCAAAAGCTTCAGGAGAAAAAGGGCCATTTGCTTAGGGAGACTTCAAAGCTCCTTATCTTCTCCCAGCCCTGACCATCATTGCCAAAGTATCATGTAGAGGCATTTTCCACCTCAAAAGGCTGTCCTTTTCAAAGGAAAGCTTTGATAAAACTCTACAAAGAATCTGACAGTTCTACTCTGAAAGTAGCCAGGAAAGGAGTTTTGCATCCACAAGTCAGGACTTCTGTTCAATGCGGACTACCCAGACAATGGAGGCATTTCTGTGAGAATACCTCCACTGCACACACCACTCTCCACACTCTCACCCCAGATTCTGAAGACAAGAGGCATCAACATGTCTTCTATGTGAGAAAGCACCAGACTAAGTACTTTAATATATTAGGTTGAACCACTTGAAATCATTTTTCTTATTTTTCTCTCTACAGCCTTGTGAGGTAGATAGTATTCCAGTTTGCAAATGAAGAAGTAGGCCCAGAAATATTCAATAGCCTCTGCAAGGCCACACAGCTCCCCAGTGTAAGAGTTTGCGTGCAAGTCTTGTAGCTTCGAGGGCAGTGCTCTTTCCCCCACACCACAGTGCTACCAAAGAGGTGCTGACCGCCTCCTGGGAACGGCTCATCGTTCCAAAATCCTGAAATTGATCCTGGCCTGTGTTCTGGAGGCAATCTAGTGTCCAACCTTGAGATACGCAAATTAAATCTGGAAGCATCTGCTTCCTCAGCTGGTACCGTTTCCCTGCTTACTACCACACTCTGTCTCTGGGAGAGGCAAGTGGGCTGTGCTAAAGGGGTATAAATGCACGAAGGGATTGATGAGTTTGAGGAGGGAAATTCTGAGCTGAGAGTTTGTAAAGGCCCAAAGAATCTACTCTTTGTAATACAGAAATAGTGCTCGTAATATCTTTATAAATGCTTATCTTTTTTAAGCCACCAGCCTTGGTTGGAAAAGACTGCCAAATCATCCACTGTACAAAATTCCTAAAAACCATTTTCATTCAGCTTTCTTGTTTTTAAATTGGTTGGCCATCTGTTTCTAGGAAAAACTGGAAAGGCAGAACGTCAAACAAAGGCCATGAGACAGAAGCTCTTTTAAAGTGCCCTTAAGCAAAACCTTTAACCTTTTGGGGTCTTGTGCCCATGTCTTAAATGAGAAAAGTAATCACATTGTTTATTTAGCTAACAAATATTTGTTAAGAATCTTCTGTGAGCCAATCACAGCCTCATTGGGAGGCTTCCAAAGTTTATCTAGTTATTATTAAAAAATGATTTGTGCTTATGAAATACCATGTTGGTATCTACCACAATGTTAAATGCACATCCTTTGACCCATTCCAGGATTATCTTACTGAATGCTTGCACATGTGTACAAAGATTACAGGCTGTCTATTACAGCATTATTTGTAATGGCAAAAACAAAAAACTGTAGACAATCTAAATGTTAGGAATGCCATAAACCAATTAAAGAGTCTCTGACATATTAAAAAGGAAGAAAAACAAATTATACATATATCTCATCCCATTTATGTATCACTCATTTATGTAAATTAAAAAAATACCTTTGAAAGATCTGAAATTCTAAAAGATTAACAGTGGTTACTTCTACAGAGTTAAAGTGGGCTGGAGTGGCTTTCACTTTTTACTCTATATACATAATACTGTTGAAATATTTTACAGCAAGATTATATGGCTTTTTTATTTCTAAAAATAACTTAAAATATTTAAATGCCTTAGAAATCAACCAATAAAAACAGACAGAACAAACTTAATTTAGGCTTTAGACTGCTAATTCTTAGACTGCTGTTGTTTATCTCTGAGAATGAAATTGAAGTCAGATGCTTATGGATCCTCACAACTTGAGATAACCCTGTGGACTCCAGGGTGGAAAGGTTACAGGGAGAAAATAACACATTGCAAAGATGTTTACAGAAGTGGCCATTCCACTCTTGCAGGTTCTTGTGCTCTTCTTTGTAACACCTCAAAAAGGGGAAAATTGAGAAAAAGAGGTAAGAACATCCCTGCCTGGAAGGTGCTCGCCGTGCCTGGTTCCGATAGAGGCCCTTTCACAAGGTGCGCCGCTCTGAGTCAGCGCATTGCTGAGCAGGACTAGGGCCACGGAGAGGAAATGTGCAGTGACTAACCCCACCGCCACTCTGGGCCTTACTGTAATCAAAAGGATGTTGGCTCAGGAGGGTGGAAGTAATGAAAACAGTCTAGAGACCCGGCCTTTCTGCAGAATGTGGGGAAGTTAATGAAGCAACAGGCTGAGCACGACAAACATGGAGGGCAGGACTGCCGCTTCCGGCGGAAAGAACTTCATTGTCCTGTCGCCTTGACTCTTCCTTGCTTCTCACACAGAGGGGGCCACGGCCAGCGAGTACAAAGCTCTGATGACGGAGCTCAAGATCTTGACCCACATTGGCCACCACCTGAATGTAGTCAACCTGCTGGGCGCCTGCACCAAGCAAGGAGGTAAATGAGAAGGGACGGCCCTGGTCCATCTCCCGGTTCACACGCAGAAAGCAGAGTTTCCAACATACAGCTTCTTCTCCCCACCCCCGCCCCCCTCACCTGCTGGAAAATGGTCTCTCCATGGTTCCAGAAGAAACAGTTTTTCCATTTATAAAAGGGGGGTCCCATCCAAGAAATGCTTTCCCTGTACAATTAATTTAAAGGTTCCAAAGAGAAGGACAGCCAAGCACTAACCTTTCCGTAGGGGAGGAGAGAAAGTCTTCAGGAACGCTCATTCCTCTGGGCGAAGTTTCAAAGGAAACGTGTAACCTTCTGTGCATTTACCCCAGCTCTGGTCACACTCCGGCTCTGTCACAGTCACCATCAAAACTGACCAGGGCTAATCAGAGAGCCCGCTCCGTCTGTGCCTCTGAGCTTGGTGTAGCGGGCTCCTGCGTGGAGCCCCTCCTGAGGGCAAGGAATGAGGGACCCCAGGCAGGCAGCCGAGATCGTAGACTCCTCTTGGGTGGTGGGGAGACACCACCTGTGGAAGCAGCTTCCCGTTGTGCAACCTGGAGGGAAGAGGAGGTGCTGTCACGATTTCTAACATGCACTTTTAAATCAGCAAAGCCCTGACAGACACAGAACACCCCTCTCCTGAGCAGGGCCCGGCCTCTGTGAGCCGGGAAGAACTGGGGAGCCTGTGCCCTTGGGCTCAGAGACTCCGAGCAGCCGAGGCTCCCGGCGTGCCCTTGGCAACAGCCACCTGGAGCAGCGCCGGGATCACTCCCGCTTTGACCCGGAACCGGAAGTTGTTCTTCCCTGCGGTTTCCGTACTGCCCCGACCAGTGGCGGAAGCCCTGAGAGGTACAGGCGCCCGATGAGGCGAAGCAGCTTTCGGGGCACCACGCACGCGGGACCGACTCGCAGCTTGGGTTTTTTCTTTTCTTCCCAACCCTCTTGCTTCCTTTTGGCCAGGACTCTGCAAACCATGGGGTCAGCCTGTGAGCTTAATTTGGCCTTTTTAAATAGTTGGGGGGAAGACTCAAAAGAAGAATATATGACGTGAGAATTATATGAAATTCAAATGTATATGTTCATAAAGTTTTATTGGAGCACAGTCACTCATTTGATTATATTGTCGTTTATGGCTGCTTTTCACACTACAAAGGCAGGATTGAGCTGTATGGCCTCCAAAGCCTAAAATATTTACCCTCCTTTACAAAAGTTTGCCGGCCCCTTATAAGCCCCAAGGCAAACTGTGTGCAGACACCCTCAGCTGGCTGGAGACAGACGGGACGGACAGAACCAGTCTATTTTCTGCACTGGAAGGGAGGAGCTGCTTGACAGTGCTGGGGTTGAAGTGACAATATCTTGAGGCCCCTCTACTCACTAGGGTCTGGCTAAGCAGCAGAGAAGGTGGCTGGCAGTTACAGGTAGAGCCCTGGCATCGGCCCCTCCCCCCTTCAAAGTTCGCTCGTTCTCCTCTTTTTTTTCTGCTTCTCCCCACTCTCAACCCCCAATTGTCTCCTATTCCTTTTGAATGTTTTAATTGAAAAAACTCCCCTAAGTTGCATCCCTAGGCCCCACTAATATAAAGACAAGTTGGTTTGAGGTTTCTCGGGCCACTGAAGGCTGGCAGGTGGCTGACCCAGGTGGTGTCCTGAGCATGTGTTGTTTTGGCTGCAGGGCCTCTGATGGTGATCGTTGAGTACTGCAAATATGGAAATCTATCCAACTACCTCAAGAGCAAACGAGACTTATTCTTTCTCAACAAGGTAAGGAATTGGCAGCCCCTTCTGGTAAGGAATTGGATGTTTTTAAAGATAGCAATGACTTTCCATTTAGGCTATAGCCACATAAGGCATGAGAAACCTATATTTTTTCCATTAATGACTAAGCTTAAAACTCAATGTCTGCTTTTCCCTCCTTTTTAAAAATTTCCTTCCATGCTAATATGTCACACTCTTTTTGTGGATAGCACAGAGAATATTTGATCCTACTGTATGCAGCAATAATTAAGGGTTAAAATTTACTAGCCATCTATCTAAATACCTATCAGATCATCTTGATAACTTTAGCTCTCTCTCCTTCTTCCCCTCCCTCTCTCTTCTCAGATGTACACAGACACACACAAATCACTTAGTCACTTGTTGTTTAAAAGATGATAGCAAGTGTAATTGTCTCCATTAATTTCTCTAATAAAATTAGAGAAATTAAGGACTCAATGAATCGAGTGACTTTACAGTCAACAATAGCCCAAGAAATCATTTTCTTTCCTTCCCCACACCCTCACCACCAGTCACCACTACACATGCACTGAACCAGCCTTATCCACTAAAATAAAGCTATGTAATAAAAAGAACACAAGGGTCCAAGTTCTGAAGGTAAACCAAGGTTTTTTTGTGTGTGTTTTTTTATCCTCACCCAAGGATATTTTTCCATTGCTTTTCAGAGAGTGGAAGGGAAGAAGACAGAGAGAGAAACATTGATTGGTTGCCTCCTATATGCACCCCAACCAGGGCCTGGGATCGACCCTGCATCCGAGGTACATTCCATTCGCCAGAATCAAACCTGGGACCCTTCAGTCGAAGGGCCGACGCTCTAACCACTGAACCAAACCAGCTAGGGCCAAACCAAGTTCAAAAGAGATAATTGAATGGAGGAGAAAAGAGTTTAATAAAACTTTGTCAGTGTGACCCATCCCACCAACGTTGTATCCTTCTCTGGTCTGGAGAAGCTTGGGAGACAATGATTCGACATTATTAACTGATAATTAGCAGTGTTGGTGATGAATCCATGTAGTGTGGTGGTTAAGAACTCGGACTCTGCATTCAGACTAACTGTGTTTAAATCCTGTTTCTACTATTCATGAGATCTGGGACCTTGAGCAAGTTATTCATTCTCTTTAAGTTTCAGTTTCTTATTTATTAAATGGAAGTACTACAACCGAACTCATTGTTGAGTTGAATATAGTTAAGCACTCAATGAATGTTAACTATCATCATTATTGACCCACTGAGATAGAAAAAATGGGTGAGTCCAATTGAATGCCACTGATCTGTATGATCTATATAATAGATTAAGTGTCCAAAATCCTTGAATGGTGCCCATTTGTCACATGGGCAAGAGTCATTATGTGGCACATAAGTAAGAACCACTAGACAGCTGGCCCAGTCTCTCCTCTCTTAAACTTTGATCCAACCAAAGACAGAGGTGTTCTTCCAGACTGGCAGCATATATGCAAGGAAGGACATATTTTCCCCAATTTTAAACCATGTCCTCTCATAATTAAATCTTAAAGCTGAAAGGGATTTTTGTGACCAACTAGTTCACACTCTCACATTATAGATGTGCCCAGAAAAATCAAATTGGCTTAAGGACACACACCTACCAAGATATGAAAGAAAGTGCCCAGATCTCTTATCTCCCCTTCCAATGCTTTTTCTGTACACTACCCTGGATAAGGAGAGGGGAAAACACAAGAAGAAGAGGCAAGTGGTGCCCTGAGCTGAGAGCAGCGCAATCTCCCCTCAGTCCTGAAATCCTGGACTGGCTTCAGGAAGAAGTATACCCCAGGGATCAGGGCAGGATGGAACATTTGGGTTCGTGCGTCCTTTGTTTTGAAGAGTTTGCTTCCTTCTCTGGCTATATTTAATGATTTGCCTCCCTGTTGGTGGAGCCTAGTGTTATGTGAAAACACATGGCTGTATTTCATATTTGAAACCTAAAGGAGTATAAAGAGAAGGTGAAGGTAAAACCAAAATACTAAATAGATATGGGACATTCGTTTTCCAAATAAATTCACTGTGTTCTGACAGAGTCCCAAAAGTTCAGTAAGTCAACCTTTATTTAACAGAAACAATTACCAATAAGCAAAGTTGAATATACCATTGATTGAGAGGCAAGAAGAGGGTGAGGGAGCTTGAGTTCTGGTCCTTGGAGACATGCCCAAGGCTGAGACTTCTGAGAAAGTGAGGAAGAAGGCTGCCCAGAGAGCACTGTCCTGGGCCTGAGCTGTGAGTGGGCCGGTGGAGCACTTTGCTGCCCTACACCCTTGCCAGCACTCTTTCTCTGCTGCCTTCTGTCCTGGAGAGGGGCTTGTAAAAAATAAAATTCCAGTCCCCAACTGAGCAGAATCAAGTCTAACTGCCTCAGGGACACACTCTTTACCAGCTCTCAGGTAGGTCACCTGGCAGTGGCTGCTCACTTGGAGACCTGCCTCCCCTCGTGCAGCACAGGAAGGTCTCTTTTTGGGGGGCAGGAGCCTAGTACCTGCCACACTTTCAGAGTTTGTCAGCTGTCCCTCCTGAAGCACTCTCCTCTGTCCTCTGCTTGCTCCCACTGCACCCTCTAGTGGAAGGATCACTCCTATTTTGTGACATTTCTAGGAAAAGCCTAGGAAGGACAGGAAGCCTGGCTAATCCTAACACTGTCACAGTGTGCTGGTAGATCAGGGGACACCACTGAAACCCCGTCCCTCTCGGCCCTGTTTCAGTGTTGCCATCTGGCAGAATTGAACCTAGGTACATGGTCCCATCATGAGGCCACTGGGAGTGCTAAGGTTCTAGATTGTCACAGTTGCTAGATTATTAAATGTGATAAAAATCTTTTCTGGTTCCAGATGAACACCCAGACCAACAACTCATTTTTCTATGAGTCAAAATATAATAAGGTGATAGAGTTTTTCAGATTAGGAAAATGAAACTCAGACAAGTAAAGTGATTTCCCTAATATCACATCGCTGGCTAATGGAAGAGCCAGATTACACGCCACGGCTTAGATGCCAGTCCAGGATGAAAGGTCTTTTCTACCTCTGTTAGGCTCTAACTGTATCTTTGTTTTCATTGGAGGGAAAAAATGTTCATGTTCCCTCCTTTCCTAAGAAAACCATAGAAATTGGTAACTGCCACTCTCTCTTATTACTCCTCATAGGGATTACAAAGTGAGACCCCAAGTTCACTGGGGATGCTTTTCTACCATTCATGTCACCTTTCCCAAGCTGGTGCGTGGAATGGAAAAGTGGTTAATGGCCAAACCTGAGTTCAAGCTTTGCCATTTACTAGCTGCATGTGACTTTGATTACTTGACTTCTCTAAACCTATTTCTTCATGTATAAGCAAGAACTAACTATTTCATGGAATTGTTGGAAAGATTAAATGAGAAAATGTACCTAAAATTTTAATATGTTGGCTCACACAGAGTAAGCTCTCAGTGAGTTCCAGCTGATATTAATACTCCTTTATCCTACCTAAGATGCTGTCTAAAAACCCAGCCAAGAGCAGCATAGACTCCAGAATCCCCGGAGTAGCCAGGTGCCTGGCCACCATAAAGCCTTTGCTGCTAATTTACTATCTGTTTTGTAAAATGGCATTCTCCCAACTCAGGTGATTGCCAGCTTGTGGGACTATCTTCTCCATTTTGGCTCTAGAGCTCCCTTTCATCTGTGTCCTTCTTTGTCTGTTCAAAGGATGCAGCATTACACGTGGAGCCTAAGAAAGAAAAAATGGAGTCAGACGTGGAGCAAGGCAAGAAACAAAGACTAGATAGTGTCACAAGCAGCGAGAGCTTCGCAAGCTCCGGGTTTCAGGAAGATAAAAGTCTGAGTGATGTTGAGGAAGAGGAGGGTAGGTATTAATTCCTTCCTGTCCTACAATGTGAGATATTTTTACAACATACTGCGCATCTCTGAAATTTTTTTCTTATTTATCACCCTAATAAACATCCGTGGGAGACTCGAAGGGGTAATGTCCTGAGGAGATAAGATTTGAATTAAGATTATTTACAGAGTTACTAATTTTGACAGGGAACTCTGTACAATTGTCTCCCCTCAAGCCTGTTTGTCTTAACGGATCATCCCCTACCCCCATGCTTGGGAAAATGGGCTGGAAGCCTGGAAAAATCTCTGATAGTCGTACTGAAACTCAAATGCTCTTGAAAATGAACTCTGATCCACTTGTTGGTTTGTTTTATGTTTTACTAACATTGTTCCAATAAGCTGGGATTTGGCGGAATAACAAGAGTCATTACAAACAGCTACGGTTTTAATGCTTTCCAGATTCTGACGATTTCTACAAGCAGCCCATAACTATGGAAGATCTGATTTCTTACAGTTTTCAAGTGGCCAGAGGCATGGAGTTTTTGTCTTCAAGAAAGGTCAGCCTTGTTCTTTACGGTTGCTCTTCTTTGCCAGGCCTGGACATGTGGACACTCACATGGACAAACACATGTATTGGCTATTTTCCTAGTGTTTGCTTATACTTATGTCTTTAAATATAGAGTAAACATCATGACAAATGCCTAAATTTGCTCTGATAGGAGCAAAGAGTTTTGAGAACACCCTAGTCTTAGATTCCATGGAGAATTGAACTCTAGGGGAAAATCTGACGGGACAAAACTGGCCCCCCATTCTCCACGTTGCCCTCCGGCGTGTCTGCGGCGCTGGCCAGAGTCTCAGAATACTCCCCTCCCGGGAGGGCCCTCGCCCAGCCGTGTGGGGCCCTCCTGCGAACTGCAGCCGGAGGATCAAAGTTGGGGGAAGTTTTGCTCACTGAGGGATTTGATTGCAGCTTCGTTGACCAGGATCCTGTGCTGCAAAACAGTAGCAAAGGAGATGCAGACCCTGCCTTGCCTCTTGGGCCTCCAGGGGCCTCTGTTTGTAAAGAGGAGCTTCGCATTTATGGTTCCTCCGTGTGCACTGGGGGCTGCTTCCATCATGTAACGGATCCTCGAATCAAGAAGAATAATGAGACTGAGAAGCCCCAGGAAATTAGTCAGTTAGATTAAGGAAGTGCATTGATTATGCAACTGTTTTATTATAGTGCATTCATCGGGACCTGGCAGCACGAAATATTCTTTTATCTGAGAACAACGTGGTGAAGATTTGTGATTTCGGCCTTGCCCGGGATATTTATAAGAACCCTGATTATGTGAGAAAAGGAGATGTAAGTCAGTTTGATGTTTATTTGACTCATTTATACCCTGTCATTTTTAAACCACAGACCAACGCCCTTGGTAAATATTTACTCTTCCTCGACAGTGGTCCCTGAAACCATCGTGTGCTTTCTGTGGAGACAAGCAGACAGGCTGTGTTCCAGGGAGCCCCTGTGTGGGACGGCCCTGAAAGGCCACTGTCTCTGGGTTGTTCCCCCCTTACTCCTGGCTTGGTACCTGTCCTCTGGGCAGTGCTGCCTGAGATTGCTGGCCTGAGAAGTGTTAACAGGGCCCTGGTCACCTCCCTTTAACTCCTGTGGGAGTTTTTTGAACCACTGGAAAGAACAGCCTGGACTCTTTCCCTCAAATAAACCCAAATGATTGATTCAGCAGGTGTATATATCTCAGGAAAGGGTGGGGAGGGTATTGGTATTATCTTGTTATTGAGGAAACTGTCTCCCCCACCCCTGCCTTCTATGCCTAGCATCCCCCTGCTGGCTCACACTGGCTTCTCTTCTTTGCTTGTTTGTGGACATAGTGTTATGTTTCACTTTTGTGGGTGACCTCCTGTGTCCTCTCTTCTCCAGTCTATACCCTGAGGGCTTAAGCCTGTGTCTGGGCTCTGCCGATTACTCTACAGTAGTGGTTCTCAGACTTAAGTGCACATACAAATCACCTGAAGGGCTTATTAAACTACAATTAGCTGGGTCCCACCCCCAGAAATTCTAATTTAGTAAGTCTTGCGTGTGGCTTGAAAATTTGCCTTTCTAACAAGTTTCTAGATGCTGCTGACACAGCTGGTCCCAGGACTCTACTTTGAGAACCACTGCTCCAGTCTTTTTATAAAAGAAAAAAACCCCAACAAACTTTCCTGAGGATCCCTGATTTGCAGAGATGGCATCTACTTATGTGTCTGTCCTTCTCTTCTGTTCATCTGTATCTCTTTCAGCCTCCTCCGTCCCTCCCCCTTGCATTTTTCTCTTTGTCTCTCCATTGTCCCATCTTCATTCCCGTCCGTCTAACGTGGCAGGGCCTAGCTCCCCGAGATTCCTGCTGCCTAGAACAAAAATTTGTCTGCACACTTGAAAACCAGCCACACAGGCTCCTAAATACTGTCACCTTCTTTCTTTCCTATGCCTTTGCCCACTCCCCTCATTTAATGACTTTTAAAATTCTGTCTTTTACATAAGAATGCCATTCAAAATCCTCCTTCTTAAGAAAAATTTCTGGAAATTATGACTTTTCAGGATGTCTTCCAATTCAGATCACTCTTTTCCAGGTCCCTGTGCAGTGCAGGTTTTGGGGGAGAGTGGAGTTATGGAGTTAACGAGTTATAGAGTCATGGAGTTAACGACTGCGACGTGCTGGACACATAGGAGGGGCTTACTAAACATTTATTGTCTTCACAGGAATTGTATAGCACACAGCTCCCTCTGTTAGTATAACACTGCATGTTATAAGAATTTTTTCTGTGTTAGGAAACTATAACTGCTCTAGGAAATGATTTCTGGGCCAAGCGTTATCTGGGAGGTGACCCCACGGGCACTTGGGTTGAATGTGCTTTGTTTGCATGTCCTTCTGCTCAAGGCCCCCTTGCCCTTTTCTAGACTCGACTTCCTCTGAAATGGATGGCTCCTGAATCTATCTTTGACAAAATCTACAGCACCAAGAGCGATGTGTGGTCTTATGGAGTACTGCTGTGGGAAATCTTCTCCTTAGGTAAATCTAGGGGAAGGAAGAGATAAAATAGACAAGAACCAAATGTCTGCTGAGTGTCCTTTAGGGTAGATACAACCTTGGGTCAGCATCTAAAAGAACTGAAATCACTCCTAGAGTGTGGGTCCGTGCAAAATCTCAGATGAGGAATGGTGCGTGCATGTGCACCCTGCATAGCAAAAATGCTTTATACAGACACAAACAAGGTCAGACCAGTACAAACTCTGAAGTTGGTTTTACATTCAGCCAATCTGGCTACTCCTTTCTCTGTCTTTTGTCCCCTTCTCCTAATTCCTCAAACACCCTGATTCTTAATGCCCCTTTCTTCTCCCTCCCTGTATCATGCCTCCCTTCAGAGTTTCCTAGGAAAGGCCTCAGAAAGCACACGTCAACCAGTGTTAGGAACAGGAGGCCTTTATAGTGCCACTAATGTTAACACAGCTAGTCCTAGGTGGTGGTTTGTGCAAGATGAAAAATGGGGACACTGGATATATTTATTCTGCTTCCAATAATATCCACTATGGGTGGCTAGAAACCTCCTTCAAGCCCCTGAGCACACAGATGTGCACAGAGCCCACATCTGCTTGCAAACACACACTGATGCTCTGAGGACTCCCAATTGTGGGGTCTAGCCAAGAGTCTTTTGGACTTTGCCAAAAATTTGCCTTTTAGAGCAAATAAAAGTCACCCAGTAACATCCCTCGTTTCCTGTAATGTGTGAAAATCATTCCCCTGCTTTCGATGACAGGCACCTGTTGCTTCCAGTCTTTGAAAGCAGCTTGGCGGCCACAATGGCCCCTCAGTGACACAGTGCCAGCACTGCACACCTCCCAGCTGCTTCCTACAAGCAGTAATCACTAGAAAGTACACACAAACAAATGCTGAGATCGACTAGGTTTGAGGTCTGAAACAGAGCATACTAGGAGGCCGCGCTCACCACTATCCATAGCCAAGAGTCCTCCTAAAAGGAAAGGTTACATGGGCATCCTGAACAATAAAACTAGCAAGAGGCAAAGTTGAGGCCACTCCGGGACCCTCTGGTGCACAGACTCCTGCCTATGACAACCCCTGACAACCCCTCCATTCAGCCTCCTCCTGGAGCTCAAGGCCCCCGTCCCTCAGGCCTGTCAGGCAGCTGGTCCCCAGTTCTGTGAGAAGTTTACAAGAAAGTCATGAGTTAAAATCATTCTCACTGAGGTGTGAACAATCCAAAAGTGACCTATTCCAAGTTCCTTGGCCTTTTAAAAAGACGTTTATTAACCCGAGGAATGAGTCTCTAATGATGGGATTTCTTTCGAGTTCCTTGTGGGGAGAGGAAGGGACCCTTCAGATGACACCCTCTCTCCTGAGCAAACAGACAGGAGTAGCCACAGGAATGACCTGGGACGTCAGACACCCAGCACCAGGGGGGCCAACCAAAGGTGTGTCACTAGCAGGCATTTGCTGACCTTCAGTATGAGCTGTACTGTGCGCGCAGATCCATTCCAAACACTGCGAATTTACTACTCAACCATCACTTTAAAGGGAGGAAGCAGGCCCCCCATGGTCTTTTGTGTCCCGAAGCCATAATGTGCCTGTCCTCTCCCCGTTGTCTTGTGCAGGTGGGTCTCCCTACCCGGGAGTGCAGATGGATGAGGACTTCTGCAGCCGCCTGAAGGAAGGCATGAGGATGAGGGCTCCTGAGTACGCGACCCCGGAAATGTGAGCCCTGGGCGCCCCATTCCCGCCCCACAGCCCCATCCCTGCAGGGCACCTCAGGAAAGGGGTGTTTGGCTGAGCTTTAGCAGCCCGGTCCTGCTTAGCCCCAGTCAGGTGCACCTGTGCTGGGAGCATCTTCCAGAAGAGAGGCACACTGTCCTTACCCATTTCCTACCTATTTCCTCTCCTCACCGCTGGCGCGACTTCTCAGGGCCCCTGGCTGGGAACTGAAGGCAGGAACTCAATTCTAGGTATGAATCCAGGCAGCACTAACAGACCACCCAAGCACTAAGTGTGAGACCTCGTCCTCACGAAGCAGAAGCCGCATGAACGAAGTGCTGGAAGCTGCTCTGACCGGTCCCTCTGCCCTCACTAAAGACCCGTGGGGGTTGGGTTTGGAGTGCTGGGAAGAGGTGCAGGAGGGGGAGGGGATTTCCCGTGGAATTATGCGGGTACACTTGGGCAGTCAGACTGATGGAGACTCATTTTAGGAGTCTGCTGGGCAGCCCTCTGGAGCTGCTGCTTGCGGTGGCTTCCTGCTGGGCAGCCCTGTGACTCCCGGGAAGGTGATAGGGCGCTGTGTGAAGGCTTTCTCTGTTATTCAAGGCTTGCTAGCCTCCCTGGGGCCCTCTTTTTTTCTGAAGCTTTGTGGATGTTTTGCACTTTGAGTCCTGAGCAGGAATGTGATGACACTTGCATTTTTGTTGAGTTGCTGACTAGGTCGTGGGCCTCCCTAGGGCGGCACCACCTTTCCTGAACTGGCAGGCGGCCCCCCATCCCACCCACACAATGGGGTCGTGTCAGAAGCCCTGGGTTGGCCTTTGGGGAGGAGTCAGATGGAACGAAGGAAGTGTGGGCTTGGCCAAGGTGCAAGGTCACTGTCTCTTTCCTTCATGTCTGGAGACAAGGCTAGGTCAGACCCAGGTGAGGATGAGTAGGACAGGGCACTCAGGCCTGTGAAGGCAGAGCTAGGGAGCAGCCTTGGTGCAGAGGGGAAGGGGACTGAGGGGACTGTTCTGATCAGTCCTATATGGTGTCCTGTCAGGAAAGTGCAGGGAGCTTGAGGCAAGGCCCTTTCTGAGAGCTGGGGACAGATAAATTAGCCAATAGGACTGCATTGGGGCTGTGGTGGCGAAGGCATTGAGTTTTTAATTCCTTGCTTCCTTTTACTTGGTGGAGAGGTGCAAACACCAGATCTGGTTTGAAATGAGATTACTTGGCACTTTAGGTTCTCTAAGTGTCCCCCCCACACCGTCTCTGCAGTTGCCAGCAACCTCAAAGCGCAGGCAGGCAGGTATATAATCTGACTTTGATAAGTAATGAAACAAAGCCTCTGAGAAGTGAAGTGATTTGTCCTCCGTCAGCTAAATAGAAGAAACAAATTTAGAAGCTAGTCTTTTGGGCTGGTTTCCCTAGATCCCAGGACTGCTGAATTAGGAATACGCCCCATGTGCCTTAGAAGAAGTGTTTCTCTACTATGTCCACTCATGCTTGGAACTGAATATTTCCTTCCACTTTTCGTGTAACGTGAAAATCACAAGAGTGAGTTCTCTATTACTAGCAGCAGTAGTAATGCAGTCATTATTAAACAACGTTTAATGCTTAAGTGCCAGACACTATTTTTGCACGTATAACATATATTAATTTTCCTAATGCTCATAACAACCCTATAAAGTAGGTACTATTATAATCTCCATTTTACAGATGAGAGAACCAAGGCACAGAACATCTGATTTGCCGCATTGCTAGTAAGTTAAGCAAACCCAGCCTGAGTCCAAAGTCCACAGTACTGTGCTATATACCTGCAGGGTATACTTCCAAGTCTTACCCAGCTTCTGGTCCAAAATAACTGTTGAGATACAGTCATATCAACTTTGGACTAAAAGCTCCCTTGGACTTTACCAAACCTTCAGTCTTCACATTAACCTCTCCTAGGTCAATACCCCATGAAGTCATAGAAAAGATTGTTTCTTAATTCTTGGGGCTTATTTCAGAAATGATAAAAAGCAAGCAGCAGCTTTGTGAAATGTTGATTCAGGAGGCCAGAATTCACCCTTTGGCCGTTCTTGAGCATTTGAAAGCTGCCAAGGTGAGGATGGAGTGCGGCTCTCAGAACTGGGATTCTGTGGCCTGGACTTGGCCTAAAGTGGCATGCACTTGGGAGCTGAGTGACAGCTCAGACAGGAAGCTCTTCCCATATGCCCCTCACCCCCGGCTTGTTCCAAGAAGGGCTGTTGGGTTAGGTGAAACTGGTGTCCCTTTACTTTATTAAAACCTGTTTACTTAGTGATATAAAATTATTTAATGCTGTGTCATTGGTTTTCTGCCCAGAGCCTGTTTAATCAGATGTCTTTCAATAAGGGAATAAGCAGTTGATTTTTTTTCTTTTCCTTTGGTGTTTGCTGAGGTAATTTGCATTGAATTTCAAGAAAGAGAAGTGGAAACTAGAGATCAAACCAAGAATCAAAATACAAAACAGCAATAGTTGTAGATGGTCCCTCTTGCTAGTTTCAGCACAGAGAACCCGGAGGAGCGCTGCTCACAGTCCCATCCCCAACAGCTGCTGGCTCAGTGTGAAGTGATGCATGCTGAGCTAAGCTGGGGCCTCCGACCAGTACTCCCTATCTCAGGCTCCCTTTTTGTTTTCCCAGTTCAAGCCTTTCTTGCTTTGGCTTCCTTTAGTAGATCATCTATGGATATGTTTAATGTTCTTCCAGAGGCCTCCGAGAATCTGTTTATTGCTAGAGATAAAGGAGTCTTGGATGATTAGGTTTGAGTGTGGTCAGGTGGGAGCAGGCCAGCCTCTGCCACAGCCCAGACAACATAGGGTGAGGGATCTGACTTTTGTCTAGTTTCTGACTTTTGACCTCCTATTTCTCTAGTATACATTTTGCACCTCTCTCAATTAGTAACATGTATAAGCTTACCCTAAAATGAGATTCACATAGGACTGTGCAGTCTGTTTTAGGCTATTTCAGACCTTTGGTGATAGCACGCTGGCCTAGATTGCCTGAGTGAGGGCCTGGAGCCCTCACTCTGAGGCACTGCTGTCAGGAACAGTTAGGGACGTTGGGCACTGCAGCCCTGTCCTTTGTCTCCCAGAGAGCAGGGACAGCAGTCCAGAGTTAGAATTTCTTTCCTCACTCCCAGTCTCCCCTGTCTATAATTAAGTCCAAGTGCAGTGGTACCCGATGTTGGCCCACACATCACACTCACCAAAGGGCCCTCACAGCTCTCGGAACCAGTTGACCCACCCCACACCCCCTGGGAGTTAGGCAGAATAGGTGCCATAGATGAAACACAGGGTGGGAGGGAACCAGAGTCATCTTCTGAGAAGAGTAGTGACCCATAGGTTTGGACAAACATAGGAGAGTTTGTGACTCAGACAAGTGATTTTTTTGAGCTCCTGTCCCTTACTCAGAGACTTTAGACATCTGCTTACTAGGTACTTGTCAGAAAGCAGAACCTCAGTATCCAAACTGTGAGGAAAGCAGAGTATGTCTGAAGACCACACAGTGCCACCATTCCCCTGGGCACTTCGAATTTTGTCCCTGGGTTAAATCAGAACCTTACGACACATACACCCGGACCACACTGTTTTCTCAGAATTGTTTTTACCGAATGTATTTTTTGCTGTTACAGCTTTGGCCAACATTAAAAGACAATATACAAGACAGTCCCATGAAGTTATTATTACCTAGATGGTAATGATGTTGAGAGGCATCTAGGAGAGTCTCCTTTCAGATTTCAGTTCTAGAAATGGCCATGCTACTTCCAAGTAACTGGTTTGTTTTGAACTTCTGGCTTATATGCATCTTGTAATTGATTGTACCTTCTTTATGCCAGCTGCCTAGGAATCATGATATAAACTTTGCATATTAACTTCTTCTGTAGTTTCACCTTTTATTCTTTATTTTACCTCTCCCCACTCCCCTAATATTATTCTTCTCTCCTTTTTCTTTTTTTTTTTAAAAATATGTTTTTATTGATTTCAGAGGGAGGAAGGGAGAGGGAGAGAGAGATAGAAACATCAATGATGAGAGAGAGTCATTGGTCAACTGCCTCCTGCACACACACCCCCCACTGGGGATCGAGCCCAACCCTGGCATGTGCTCTGACTGGGAATCAAACCACGATCTCCTAAATCATAGGTTGATGCTCAACCACTGAGCCATGCTGGCCAGGCTCTTTTCTTTTTTAACCTCCCTATACTTACTGTCTTTACCAACCACTTCATATGCTTTGAAACCAAATAGGGATATCCTTAAGAGACACTTGGAGCTGCTGGTGCAACCTGAAAGCACACAGCTAAGAAGTGGCAGAGGTCAGAGGAACACTGGAGTTACTCGGGTGCTCTCTCTTCCTGGAGGCCAGTCTGACTTCCTTCAGCAAATCTTTATTGAGTGCTTGCTTATATGCCAGACCCTGGACTAGGTAATGGATGTGGTGATGAGATCTCCACCAGTTCCAAGTTCCAAGTCCATTCAGATTTTGATCCTACTCAGTCTGAGCCCTCTCTAGTTTAGATAATCTTCTGAGAGGAGAGATTACTTATTATAAACATCTCTTGAAAAGAGCAAAGAGCCCAAAAACAATAAATCCTTAAGGCAGTGTGTGTGCAGAACACTGGTTTGTATCCCTACAGAGAGGGACAGGTAGAGACCTGTGCTCCCTGCAAACTCGACCAAGAAAGGAGCCCAATACCTTCACTTCTAAGATGTCAGAGAAGAATCACAGAGGAATCTGCTGACATCAAAATCCCAGAACAAGATTCAGCTTCTGTAATATTAAGATAAACATTTTCATGTCCAGAAGTCCAGCCTGTACTTTTTGCCTTGAGTGGTAGGAAGCCAGTTTGTAGTGGCAGCTTTGAAATGCTGGGGGGGCAGAGGGAAATCAGCCGCATGCAAGAAACTTGCACAAGGCCGAGGACATATTCATAGTCGATGTGGACTGCCACCTTTTGGAAGTAACGAGTCCTATACACAGGACCTTCCCATCAGCCTCCACTGATACTGAGGACTTGGGAACGCCACATACTTATTAAGAAGTCCAAGCCAACCTCTGTTACTGCGTGAGAATATGAGTACTGCAAACTCTTTACCCATTGATATTTGTGTCTGTGTTAACTTTTTACCTTTAAGGACACTGTCCTCCTTCTGGCAGTAAGGGGAATAGTACTACACTTCAGATCTCACTGCAAGTGAGCAGTGGTTTTTCCTTTCCAAGAAGCTCTGCTTTCTTCACAGAACACCCTTCCACTCTGCACTCTGAGAACTTGGACCGTGATAGGCTCTGGCGGGGGGGGGTCATTAGTCTGCCTTTGTAGGCACATTTTCCACCACCAGCAGGACCTGGCCCAAACAGCCATTTATGTGTTGGTGCTGCATACCCAAATTTACAAATAAAGGCAAATATCATACAAGCAGCATAATCTTTATATGTATCACAATACCCATCACTTTGCTGGTGTGACATGTAGGGTGAGGTATATAATTACCACTGCTCTCCAGCCATTTCTGCTGTGCTTTCACCCAACAGCTACCAGATCATGCTGGACTGCTGGCACAAAGACCCCAAAGAAAGGCCAAGATTTGCAGAGCTTGTGGAAAAACTAGGCGATTTGCTTCAAGCAAATGTACAACAGGTAAGTCTAAATTTATCTACACTATCAGAAACCAAATGCCTTTTTGAGTGTAAGCCAAGGGGGTGTTTTATTTGTTGTTTTAATAGCTATGGATAGCTGAGATTAGCATTTTAAAAAAGGCGTGTGTGTACATGCACAATTACCTTTCACAGAATTATCCTTCCAAAACACAACTAAGATTGTGAAAATAACATAGTTTAACTGACATAATGTTTTGCAAAAATTGGTTGAAGTAGAAATCTTTGCACTTAGAGCTCTATCTTTGGTATTTTAGGATGGCAAAGACTATATCCCACTAAATGCCATACTGACAGGAAACAGTGGGTTCACATACTCAACTCCTGCCTTCCCTGAGGATATTCCAGCTCCAAGGTTTAATTCAGGAAGTTCTGATAATGTCAGGTAAGACTTTTTTATTTCCCTGACTTTATAATATTTTCAAACGTAACAAAAAAAACCGTACCACCTAAATTCAACCATAGTAAGTTACCCATATTTGGTCTATGTCTGTATCTATGTATCTACACACAGTCTCTGTGTGTGTATTTTTCTTTTTGCTGAAGCATTTGAAAGTGCTTCCCCCCCAAATACTTTGGTATACATCTTGTAAGAAGGACATTCTCCTGTGTAACCATACCAAAATTACCACCCCAAAGAAACTGGTAATACTTTAATATTGTTCAGTATTCATATTTCCCCAGATGTCTTTTACACCTTAAAACTCAGGATCCAGTCAAGAATAACACATTGCATTCTCTTTATTTTCCTCAGTTCCTTTAGTCCATCTTATTCTAGAATAATTTTTCCATCTTTTTTTTCAATGACATTGACTTTTTTCATAAGACCTAAATACAATTAAACAAACACACTGGATTTTTTTTTCTTACCTGATAAACATATCTCTCATCACTGCAGAGGAAATTAGAGAGAGGAGTAGGGAAGAAATGT